ACAAGGGCTACCACTGGGGACCTTACCCGATAAGAGCCACGCGGTGCTGGACGTACTGTGTCGCATGCCCCATTCCAAGAGGGAACATAGCTCGGCTCTCTGGATCTACTTTAGCAACGCTTGGGGGCAGCTGACGGACTGCAGTCCCTGAGGGTTTCAGGAGTGAAATAGCAGATCGAAACATGGCCCCAGCAGTATCAATGAAGTCAGAGTGGTTTACGTTGCTCCACTGAAAAAAACCCAAATCTTTAGGTGTTAACCCAAATGAGACATATAAAAGAATCCAGCTGAAAAAAATCCAGATGAGCTCCAAATACTGAATTTTAACCACTCGGACAAAATTATACAGTATAAGAAACTACCTTCATTGTTTTAGGACATACAAGTTTCCAACTAGGATGAGCCTACCCTTCCCACTTTTGGCAATTTAGTTCAACAACTTCTGTGACTTTCAGAACTAACCTAATTCAGTCCCAAAGGGTCATCCTTTATCAGCTAAGTGCCTTTTTAATATCATCCTCACCAGAAGAAGGAACTTGAGAATCCACCTCCCCCATTACTCTCCTTTAAGCTGTAGGATTCCGCTGTATTTCTCGTGATTACAACCAAGTCAGCCTCAGCTGCCACAAGGCTGATACTCACAAAGGCAGAGTTGATGCTATCCACAAAACTTTCCTCATCCATAGCGAGAAGTTCCGATGCATGTTCATGAGATGTAGACCAGACCAGAGAGCTGGCAGTGTCAGACAGCTAGTTTAAGAGAATGTCAAGGGTAAGTATCAAGAGAAAAAGAAGCAAGAATAAATGATCAATGCAAAGATTTCCCCACTGTCCTGCCCCACGCCAGTCCCTCTGCACATTACTCTCCCAGCCCAACTTGCTACCAGTGGGAAATAGCAAGGATAAAGTGAGAGGACAGGAGGGGAAAACAAATGCAGTAATTGAAAAGTAAAGGGCAGATGGACAAATTCTTAGAAAGGCACAGCCAGAAAGTTAACCACTGAAGAACAGACTAAAAACTAAAAAAACTAAAAAATAGAAATACAGAGACCACAAGTCATCTTACCGGAAGAAGCGCAATTGGCCCTGTGGGAAGGAACCTCTGCCATGCTACATTATTGTCTGTGGCCTACGGTGGAAAGAAGCAAGTGGGTAGTTAAGAACTAGTGACCTAGATCACCTGCTTAAGCTGTTCTGCTGCTTATGGAAGAGTCAATTTGCAGAATTTCACCTCAGACAAATGAAGAGTTGCCACCACAGCTGACTGGTCATACCGATGCTCGATGTTCTTGATTTCGGCTTCCTTCCGGACTACGGAGTTATGACCATCTGCACCAATCTGCAAAACAAAGAGGTACAAAGCAACCTCTTCAGCAGTTCCTGAGAAAGCCAGTATTCCAGTCTACAAACCTCAGCCTGCAAGTACACATTTTTTGTTTATCGGGGGAGGGGGGGGGCGAGGAAGATTCCCCAAAAACCAGAAGAGGTGGCCCCTTCTGCTCTTGTCCAATTCAGCACAGTCTACTTGCATCAGGTACAGAAAAGCCTATGCACCGTGTCCCATAGCATCTCTGAGAGAGTTAGCCACTCACCTTACTCAAGCCCTCCACGTGGGTGGAGCGGCACACACCGAATCAGAACCAAATCCAGTGGAAAGGACTTGGGCAAGAGATGACGCCTGATCAACAGAAATAAAAAGTTTAGTTACCAGCAGTTTGGTCTGAAGTCTGCGTCCATCAGATAACTCAATTTGGACCCAAGGGCTTGTGTCACAGCTGTGAGAGGGAAGGGGCCAGGTATACCCGACTGCTCTGCTCCTGTAGAAAACCTCCACCCGGTCTGATAGGAACACAAAGTACTATGGTCACAGCATGATCCAGACATGAAAAAAGGAAACATCACTACAACAGCAAAGGCCACGCATGTCTTAATGGCGCCCTAAGAGCTGACCCTACAATTCTCAAGGCACCCTTAAAGAACAGATCTGGTCAACCCTTCGTCACTGCAAGGCCTGCTCTGGATAGAAAGCTACAGATCTTTTCATTAAGTCCATTTTTGGAGAGACTATGTTCTGGAGAACTACATATGCAACTGTTTTCTTGCTGTGTAGCCTTCGGAAGACAGATTTCTCCACCCACCCCTCAATTCAAGAAGCTGCCTATGTCTCAGAATTACTTGTTAGATGAATTATCTTTCTCCCTCTCATAACTTAGCGCACACAACAGAAGGCAAGTAACTGAAAGCTCTCTGCAGGAAATAAAATATTAAAGAAGTTGTCCACTACCTGCTACTGCATTTAACTGTTTTGTGAGAGCAGACATAATGACATCATTCTCCACTATGTAACCCATGTCATCTAAGTCATCTTTCTCAAAAACGATCATGGCTTCTGAACAAGCATCCCACACCTACAAAGAAAAAAAAAATTACATGAAGCTGCATGATAAATAAGTGCTGTTCCTTTCAGGGACTATGAATGTATCCATCCTAACAGCAAAAGGACGCGGCAGTCTAAACACAGAACTAGAGGAATCGTCCTGGATTACTGTCCATTCCGAGCTACTAAAGTATATCACACAATTCCTTTCATACAATGATCTACCTTCATCTCAAAAACTAATTGCAAAGGAAGTTTTTTATCCCTACTTTCCTGTTACATAATTAACATAGAAAGCTACCCTATCACCTTGTTGTGGGTTAATCCCGGCAAGCAGCTCAGCACCACACAGCCGCTCACTCACTTCCCCCCCCGCCACCCCTCGGAGGATGGGGGAGAGAATCAGAAGAGTAAAAGTGAGAAAAATCATGGGTTGAGATAAAGACAGTTTAATAGGTAAAGCAAAAG